GAACTTAAAGCGTCGCCAAGGAATAATTTTGTGCCAGGGTTAAGAAAATTTAAGTCTTACACTGTTCAGACGTATTTTTACCCCTCTAGTACTCATTATGAACGTTCGGAGCTCACTCTATGTTTTGTCCGTTTAGAGAAGAAAAGAAATTGAAAAATCGAAATTTTAGCACCAACTCGAACTCTTGAGAGTAAATTGAAAGCAGTTGTCTCCTTTTAAGACCTCGATCAGCTGGAAATTTGCCTGTAATTATTGCAATATTTAACAGTTTTGCTAATATGGGGCATGGGGAATTGTTATTGCTTTGAGTCTTTGGGTCATTTAACGATCCTCCAAAGTTTGCAGCATACAGAGTGCATGACTCTCAATCTTCTCCTAGGGGTCTGGCGACTTTTTGTATTTAATCCCTCAGATCACTGCATGAGCGTTACTATATAATGGCAGGTTCTTGCTAAAAAAAATTGATGCAGCTTATACCAAAGCTATACTCTTTTCGGTGTTTAGTTGATTCTTGACGATTGAATTAAGCTTTGTTGAGCCACACCATCTCTGGCTTAGTTAGTGTAGTCCTATCTGGGTTTTTGGCTCTTTATATAACAACAGGAGTTTTTGCGCCCCCATCGACAAAATGTTGATATTTTTGGAAGCAGACTTTCAACCCCACTTGCCAGGGCCAACAATATACCAAAAAGATCGCGATACTCGATAAACATTCTTGCCACTTTGAAATCGATCTCGAGTCTCCTGCGTTCGACAGCAAAGAGTTTAACCGATACACCGCAGACGCCGGTTTGCTGTTTGATTGCAGGCTTGAAGCTGAATATTGTGTTCTCCTGAGTCTCATGTTTCTGTGTGTTCATTATTCATTGCTCACTCATTTCCCAATCAACCGGCGTCTGTGGTGGGGTGCCTAAGCACTTCGCTGTCCCATGTAGGAGACCCGAGTTCAATTCCCAAGTGGGAAGAATGTTTACAAGATATTCAGTCTCTCTGCTGGGATGTTGTATCCTTCTCAGCCCTGGTTGGCTCTGTCAGATAGGATCAGAAACCCGCCTCCTAAATGATCAGAATTGTGTCGACGCCTACATAAAAAAGATTAAAATGTTTTCTTCCAATCAGTTGTTTTTGTTCAAGTTTCTTCGAATTTTCCTTGTTTTTCCTCCTTAGACCAAAATATTCTTATCTTTTGGCTGATTTGCAAGCACACATTTTATACTTGGCTGTTTCATTAACCTCATCATTTATAAATCCATTTGGTTTCTTTCGTACCCTACCGCCCCCCCTCCCCCTTGTACTTTTTAATGCAGCGTAACCACCAAGCTATTTTAATTTCGTTCAAAATTTGGCATAGAAAATGTACATGAATTTGATACTACGTCCGTTCAGGTGAGCAAATCAAATCTCCAAAATATTTCTTCTCGCACAGACAGAGGGACGTCATTACCTAGGAATTAGATGCGCACTTCCTCGTTTTGAAAGTTGCAAATTTGGCTGTTGCAATATTGTTAATGAAGGAAAACCGGCTTTCTCTTAAAAATAACGATCGGAAGCTTCCGTCTTTTACGTGACACTAAAGTAAAGGAGACCTGCCAAAAGATTACGTAACCACTTCCTTATCTACCCCCAAAAAAAACAACAACAACAAACAAACAACACCCCCCCCCCAAAAAAAAACAACACAAAAAAGCAATAACAACAACACAGCAACAAACAAACAAACAAACAAAAAAACAAAACAAAAAAACAGAAACAGAAACAAAACAAAACGTTTCGCTTATGGCTTGAGCAAAGCTCGCAGCATCTTACTGGTAGATGAAGAGACGGTAGCGCTAGAACTATCCCACCAGAAAACTAATCCACTGAAATCAACGTAATGAATGGGTAGCTTTCATTCAAATGGTTTAGCTTCATTTGAAAATCAAAACAGGTAATTTTTTTTTACGTCAAGGTCGACACACTGAGCAATAGGTATCTTGAGAAAGACAGTCTATACCACATTCAGATAAGTCCCATAGACGTGGAAACGTGCTTTCTGTCATCAAAATGATAAAGGGCCTACTTTGAGAGAATTACCCCCCCCCCCCCCTTTCAAGAAAAAAACAACGAAACAAAAGATTTTTTAAAAATTGAACCAGAAAACAACAAAAATTAACACCCACACGCACATCCCTGAAGCCGAGGTTCAAATTTTCTATTGGGGGAAAATGTTTTCACTCATATGTTCTTGTGTGGCATTTGCATTTCAATTGGTTTACCGACTCACGATATAAATCTAGTGCACTTAGAAACCATTAAGGCTACTTATTGATGCAATCTTCGTGACTATTATATCCAAAAGATCACCGATATAGGAAATCTATTAAAACAGTTCGCAATTTCAATTTCCCCATTTTCTGTCTTTATAAGGAACAGGTATAGGTACTGACACACACTATTAAGCTGCTGAAGTTCATAATTATCTTTGAATAACCTCTCTTGCAGTTGCTTACATCTTTTCAGAAGTCCAACAGATCGCCCGGGGAGCGTCTTGTATAGACTTAGCCATTTCATTCTCTCTAAGTAAAAGGGCAGATACATTTAACATCCAGAAAGAAGCAGAACGCCCCCCATTTACTATAATCACGAGTTTTATCATTTCGGAGGTCCAACAGAGCGCACGAGATCAATATTTTGTGTGCGCTTAGCCATTTTGCTCCCTTTAAGTAAACGCGCAGATACATTTCCACCCATTTCCTATAATCACACTTTCCATTTAAGACAGAACAAAGTAAAGGAAGGCCTCAGCAAGCCAACTGAACTTTACCCAACAAATTGATATTTAACTTGGCACCTTGCCTTCTTCACTCAAGCGCAAAAACGAAAAGTGACAATCTCTCACAACGCTGGTCCATTTATACCTCAATTTGTTTTCTACGGCCCTGACTCGCAGCTTCACACTACTTTCAAAACAACTTGAATGTACTTGGTATCCAGTCTTTAAAAAAAAAGTCTTTATTGTTTTTTGCCTTTGAGTCCTGGCATCTTCTCACAAGTATTTAAGTACTGGCTGATTCAGCTATGTAGAAGTTCCTTACTCACTCAAGCGTTCTTGCAAGGTTTTTTTTTCGCGAGGGTTATAAAACTTTGTCCCTTTCGACCACTTACTAGGTGCCATTGATGAAATAACGAGTTACTTATGCTAACATGTATTTCATTAACGCTGACTTAAGCTTTAAAACAAATCTACATGTATATTGATAGTATACCATTCTGACACCGACAGAGTGTTTTTGGCTGGACTGACCCTTTTATATAAAGACTATTTTGTCCTCAATCCCATTACATTATCTTTTTATGAAAAACTTGTTCTCATGTTCTGTACTGTATTTTGCCTCCCCTAACAAACAAGAAGTTACAATATAATATAAGCAAAACAAAACAAGCGGTGTGCTTTTGACAGATAGACAAGGAGCATTTTCTTCAGCTACAATGTGATCTGATGGCAGCATCAAATATGCTCTCGTATAATACGAATACCCTAGTAGTTTATGCCCCAAGCTTGATGACTGCCAAAATGTTATAAAAAATAAAACACGTAGCATACAGCATGCAAGGTCCTTCAGTAGAATCTTAATGGAACCATCATGGAGGAACCATCAGGACAAACATTACAATATTTATTTCATGAAGGAGGAATCCACATGAGAACTGTCAGCTTTACAAAATATACTCCGCAGGGCTCCAATCACGTGCAATGCATTTCTGTGTTCTGAACAAAAATGTTGCGTCGTGTTCTCAAACCGCTGCAGTATAATAGTAAGTAGCTCTTACAATCATAAACTCCTCGTCTCGATTGCGGAGTTCCTGGGGGGGATTCTTTCACTAGAGATTTGGTCTTTGAGATTACGCCTTAGAAGAAAAGGCAAATGGCTTCTAATCTTTGAGGTGCCCAGGGTACTCTGTTAAGTGATTGAAGACACGATCCCAAAAATGTCCCTTCAGTTTAAGAACGTTTTCTGTGTGAAGGGTTGCCCCTTCCTGAATAAACTGTTGCTGACCTATTTCATCATAAACGCAGAACCCTCCACACGACGTGGGGAACTCTATGCCACCACTTTCCAAAGAGGAAATTTACTCGGTAATCCGATCCGTAAGTTTTGCATAGCAGTATGTCAAAATATTTTTTGTGAAATACTTAAAGTTTCAAAGAGATCCCCGTGCTAGAAGCATTGTATGAAGAATACAACCCCGGGGGTACAAAATGACCCTAGGGCGTACGGACTGAAAAAAATCCTCTCACTTGCTAGGATTTGGAGCCAAATCCATTGAGGCTTGAACCTCCTATGTGGACTTGATTTACTTTTTTTTTTACGCCAAAGACCGTCTATGGGTTACTCCAAGACATGGCTGATGCAGCAGTGCTCGTCTGACTAGTTCAAAGTTGTTATAGACTATGGCTTCCGAACAATAGAACATTCTTTTAAAATATGGTGCAGATCCGTGAGAAGATGGGCGGTTTATTAATTGTTTTCTTGCGGTCATCAAGTTTAGGACATAAGGTAATATCTATTGGCAGTAAAATTACGTACTGATAATGTCAAAGTATTTTGCTTATACTGACAGAGCATTTTAATAACAACGTAAGAGCTTTTGTAGTCACTTTTAAATTCTATTTTTCTGTCCTCGTTATCATCCCGACAATATCTATCTATGTATCTATCTATTACTTCCATTTGTTAACTTTGTTAGAGGAGCGTTTCTTACAGACAAATTTTCTTTTTATCACCCCCC